GCTCCCCTACATTGAAAGATTATCTGGACCAACTCTTCTGCATCGATGCTCGCTCTCTTGTTGATTTCATATGGCCTCACACTGCAAATTCCCTCTCTCTGCTGATGACTTTCAAAGTTGTATCTCTAGCCCTGTCCCTCTCCGGACATCCAGGCTCACAGGCCTAACTGGCCCCTTGACATCCCCACTTGGGCTTCCAGTAGAGGTCTCGATCTTAACATGCCCAAGGATGAGTTCTTATTCTGCAAACTCGCTCTTCCCAGAGCAGTGCCCGTCTCAGCCACAGCAGTTGCATCCATCCTGTTGCTCAGGCCCAAAACTTCAGCATCGTCCCTGTCTCCTCTGTCCCTCACTCCCACATCAGTCCCCACAGACCCCGCTGGCTCCGCCTTCAGTGTACATCCGGAATCCCATGTCTCCTCACCACCGGCACTGGTCCAGTCACCTCCTCGCTCATCTCCCTACTTCCAACCTCGCCCCTAGAGTCTGTTTTCAACATGGCAGCCAAAAAGTCATTCTTTTAAAATACAAGTTGGGTCATGTCACTCCTTTGCTCCCTATACCACTCAGAGTACAACCGAAAACCTTTCAATGGCTACCAAACCCTCCATGATGCAGCTTCTGGTGCCTCTTCTGAGGTACCTGGACACTCTCCCCCTCACTCACCCCCCCTTCAGCTACACTGACCTTCCTGCTATTCCTCAAACATGACAGACACACTGTGCCCCAGGACCTTTGCACTTGCCCTTCCCCCTGCCTGGAACATTCTTCCTCTAGCTTGATAGTTCTCCAAGTGTGGTCCCAGACTGGCAGCATCAGCATCGCCTGGGAATTTGTTTAAAATGCAAACATTTCTAACAGCCCACACCTGCTGAACCAGAAACCCTTGGGGGAGGGAGGCAGCGCATTCCGGTAATTTGGGCGCACAATAAAGTTTGAAAGCCATCGTTTCGCGTAGCTCCTCGGTTCCCTTCCTCCGGATCTTTGTTCAAACGTCCTCTTATAGAAAGAGAGGCCTCCGCTGGCCCCTCTGTCTAAAATAGCACTCCCCTCAAATCACTCCCAGTTCCCTTATTCGGGGCAGCTTTCACACCTCGGGGCAAATTGCACATTCGCTTGTTTGTTTCCTTCCTGTCTCTCTCCCTGCTGTAGTATGCAGACTTCCTAAGCATCCCCAGTGCCTGGGACAGTGCCTGGCACGTGGTAGGCTCTCAATAAACATCTGTCGCTTGAATGAACCCCCTCAGGGCTTAGCAGGGAACTTGGGGTCCAAAGGGGGTGGGAACCTGCCAAGGTGGCTGGAGGAGCCAGGCCTCCTGACTGCTGGCCGGCGCAGGCCTGCTTCGCTGCACTGGGCTCGGTGTGGCTGGCGTGCCCCCCTCAGAAGCGTGGCTCGCGTGGCTCATCGGAGGCCCCCGGCACACTTCCCTTCCCTTTTAAGCTGTGAGTGGTTTAATTTGCGAGCGCTGCTGCCTTTCATGTCCTAAGCTGCGTCCCTGCTCCCTCTGATCTCGGCAGCTGCTGGGACCCCGGTGCCGCTTGTCCGCCCCGCCCTCCGCAGCCCAGATCAGGAGGCTCGGTAATTGTGACTGATTTTCAAAGCCGCCTGGAATCTCCGCAAGCACCCTGGTGTCAGATTTACTTCTCCTTCAAAAAGTTGCTCAAATGAAATAAACTAATTTGATTTCCGCTTCTCCCCTCCCCCTCCTCGGGTTCCCCAGCTTCTCCAAATGGAGTCACCCTGCCTCCCGACTCCTTCCCGAGTGGAATGTGAGCGTTAGCGGCCCGGGAGAGGGAGATGGGGCGGGGCTGCGTCTCTACTAGGCTGGCGCTCACAGACTGGGGGCTGGCTCTGCCTCCTACTCTCTGTGTGACCCTGGATGAGTCCTTGCCCTTTTCTTGGGCTCAGTTTCCCCACCTGTGAAACAAGGACCCTTTCCACACCAACAGCCTGGGGGCCAAGCCCAGGAGCTTGCTCCATCACTGACTTGCTATGTGACTGTAGCTGCATCTTCTCTTCTCCCTGAGCCTCAGCGTTCCCATCTGTTCAGTGGGGATTCTAACATCAGTCCTGCCACCTTTCAAGTTGCAGTGAGAGGGCAGTGGTGATGAAGCCACCACGGTGGACACGGGGCTGCTCCTCCCTTGGCACTCCCATCCCCCACCATTCTCCCCAGTGCATCAGAAGGAGCTTTCTAAAAGGCAAGCCTTCCCATGCCACCTCCTTGCCCTTCCCAGGCTCTTGCTTCCTTCTCTAGCATCAGCTCACACCACCTTTCGGGCCTTTTCCATGCAGAAACGTGCAGGTCAGTTTTGGATGGAGGGAGAGAGGGACATGTCTTCTTAGGCCGGTGCTTAGCAGGGAGCTAAGTTCAAGCCCGGGTAGGAGGTTCTGGACCTGGGAGGTCAGGGACCTGCGCTGCCTGTGGCTTGCCACGTAGCCTTGGACATGTCACTGTCTCTCTGAGCCCGAGTTTCCCCATTTGCAAAATTAATTTCTAAGCTCTCGCTGGCTCTGAAATTCCACGGGTCTTCACCATCGATGACTTCCAAATGTCCCTCTCCAGCCCACACCTCTCCACTGAACTTGTGTATTCAACTGCCTTGTTCGTGATCTCCACTGGGCTGCCTAGCAAGCACTTCCAGCTTAGCGTGTCTGAAACCAACGTCCTGATTTCCCTTCATCCCCCAGACCCCCTCCTCCCCTCTCAGTAAACGGAAATTCCATCTATTCAACTGCTCAGCTTAAAATCCTAACAGTCCTCCTTGAGTTTTCTTCCCCCCACACCCCGCATCCGATCCATTAGCAAATGTTTTCAGCTCCACTTTCACAATGGATCCAAAAGTTGGCCTCTTTTAACACCTCCACTAGTACCACTTTGTTCCAAGCCACCACCGTTTCCTGCCTGGATAATTGCAATATCCTCCTCCGGGGCACCCCGCTTCTGCCCTTGCCCTTTCCCCGCCCAACTATTCTTCATGACACAGCCAAGGGGTCCTGTTCGAACTAAGTCACATCATGTCATTCTTCTGAACAAAACCCTCCCCTGACTTAGCTTGCTCAGCATGAGAGGCAAAGCCTTGAGTCTGCATGATCTGGTCGCTTCTTCTCCTGGGGGAATTCAACCCCAGGGCCTTTGCACATGCTGTTCCCTCTGCCCAGGGCCCATGCTTTTGCTTCCTTCAGGTCTTTGCTTCAATGTCGCCTCCTCAGAGAGGACTTACTGGGCCAATAATCTATTTGTTTACTTACTTACTGCCCATCTTCCATGGCCAAAATGTCCCCCTCCCTGAGAGCAGGAAGTCTTGTCTACCTTTTCACTGCTGTGTCCCCAGTGCCTCGCACATTGTAGGCACTCAAAAAATATTTGTTCAGTGAATGAATGAATATACTCAAATACACAGGTAGCATATCACATGCATGCACAGGTGTTAAAGTACCCCTCGGCTAGCCGTGTGTGCACATCTGCACATGTGTGGCATGCACGTGTACATCAGGCACACATGGATACCCCCCTGTGCCCATATTCACACCCCGCTGTTCCCCACTCTCCCACCATCCCTTTGTGCCCACCTTCTCCATGGCCCATGTCCCCCTCTTCCCCTGTTGGCTGCCTGCTTATTACCCGCCAGTCTGCCAGATTTGGCCCAACCTGGGGAAGCTGGGGCTGACTGCACCCTCCGCCGAGAGCCCAGTAAGTGCCCCTCCCTCCCACAGAGCTGGGAGGTCCAGGGAGAGGCAGCGCCGAACCCTCGGCCACAGCGAGTCAGTGATGGAGCGTGGCCGGGGACCTGGGGCGGCTGCTCCCCGTGTAGCCTGCCTTGCTGATGACTTCGGGTACCACAGTGGGAAGGAGACGGCAGCTACTGGCTTGCGCCCCTCACCCCCTGACTCCAGTTTCTACCAGAGCGTCAGGAGCCCCAGGCTAGGTGGGGCTTTGACATTCGGGGAACTGTCTGGGGGTCCCACAGTGAGAGGAGGCAGAGTCACCCGCCCTTCAGTCTCAGTGTCCCGTTGCTGCGTGAATGGGTTTCTGAGTACGGCTGTGTCTGACGTCTTCATGCAGATGTGCGTTCGGTGTGTGTGCTTCCTTTTCCACACGTACAGCTGTGTGTGCGCAGCCCTCCTGCGTGTGTGCAGCCATACTCGGGTACGTGCAACCGAATCTGTGTCTGGGGGCTCAGCCATCCCTGTGCGAGTCTGTTCCGGGGGAGCTGGGTCTTGGTGAGTTGCGGCTTCCTTGCACGCAGTGAATGAAGCTGTCTGGAAGTTGTTCATCTGGCCGTGGCCACGTGTCTGCGGTTGCTCTCTAGTGGGCGGGGCCCCACGATGGGAATGCCTGGTGGTGGCTTTTGCACATGGCCAAGTCTGTGCAGACTCTTTGTGTGAGGGGTCGTGTGTGGCTATGTCAGGGTGTGAGGTCATGTCCGGATGTGTGGCTGGGCCTTGTTTAAGCTGTGTCCCTGCATGGTTGTTCCTGGTTGTAGCTGTGCCTGAAGATGGGACCGTGTCTGTGTGGGGGTTGTAGCCAAGGGCTGTGTTGTGTCTGTGTGTAGCTGGGCTTTCACGAAGGGCTATGTCACGGTGTCCAGCTGTGCCTGTATGTGTGACCGCGTCCAGATGTTGCCTGAGTTGGGGTTGCAGGTGCAGAAGTGAGCTTGGGTGTGTGGTGTTTGCATGTGTGACTGTGTGTGGGCGTATGACCATGTCCGAGTACATATACCACCGTGTCCATGTGCAGGGCCATGTCCATGTGGGGACTGTGTCCATGGTTGTGGCTGAGGTCGCGTGTGTGGCTTTGTCCAGGACGATAGCTGGCCCCAGGGGGCACCTAGGCTCATGTCTGTACCCTGTGCCCCGGGCCGGCAGCACCTGTCTCCCCTGCCCCTCCCTAGAGGATCAGTCACTCCCCTCCCCCGCAGGCTCTGCTTGGGACCTGGCAGCTCCCCTCCGCTCGTGGGCACGCCTCCCTGCCCCGCCCCCAGAGCCCGCAGCCCACCTGTGGGCGAGAGCTCGGCCACGCTGCCGATGTAGGGGCCGTGCAGGAAGCGGGGCTCGCTGTCATTGATGTCCTGCACCTTGATGATGAACTCCGACTCGGGCTCCAGCAGGCGGTTGGTGGCGCGATCCCGGGCCTGGGCCCGCAGCGTGTAGAAGGTTTTCTGTTCCCGGTCCAGGCGCTCCATGGCATGGATGTCACCAGTCAGCTCGTCGATCAGGAAGATGGTCCCCGCACCCTCGCCTGAGATGGTGTACTTGATGGCCCCGTCACCCTCGTCTGAGTCCGAGTGGATCTGGGGAGGCAGGAAGGAGGTCAGGGGGAGGCCGGGGAGGAAGCTCTTTCCCGCCTTCCCCCTGCAGCCCGCTGAGGGTCTGTCCCTGAGCACATCTCTTCTCCAGCACACTGAGGCCAGGGCAGCCGTGCTCACTGCAGTCCGGGTCTCGCTGTCTCTGGCCCGGAGTGTTTCCCCAGCCCTCCGTGGCTATCCCTGCTCCAGCCCCATCCCTGTAACCTACCTTCCCCTCTGCACCCAGAGCGACCGGCCTCAGAGGCAGATCTGAACATGGCCTCTCCTGCTTGCAGCCCTTCCAGGGCTCCCATTGCCTTTGTAAGAAGTCCAGAGCCACTTCCACACCTCTCTGGCCCTCAGCACGCAGAGCCCCGGGCTCCTAGTTTAAGCCGCTCGCCTCACTTCTCTGCCTGCTGAAAGCCTACTCGTCCCGCAAGGCTCAGCTCCAATGTCACCTTGCCGGGAAAGCTTTTCTGGATCCCGCCACTGCCACCTCCCAATTCCCCTCCAAGACCTCTCAGTACCTCACGCCCCCACGATCAAGCCTCCGGCCTTGCAGGAGGGCTGCAGCCAGCACTTCTCCAGCCTCGTGTGTGCAAATCACCCGGGAACTTGCCAAAGCACAGACTCTGACTCCTGGGATGCGGCCTCAGAGTCTGCATTTCTAACAAACTTCCAGGTCCACCTCTCCCTAGACTCTGAGCCCCAGGAGGTTAGGGGTGGCTCTGACACATCTAGGCATATGGAGAGCCAGGCTCGAGACGCGGCACATGGCGAGGACAGGGAGTGAGGGAGGGGAGAGAGGAGAGGGGACGCAGCCCGAAGGGGCACCCACATGCACCGGGCGCCATGCTAAGCAATTTATACAAGTATCCAGTTCAGGACTCTTTTAAAAAACCTACTGGAGTAGGTTTTACTATCCTCATTTTAAGGATTTTTTTTCTTCTTCATTTTCCTACTGAGATCAGAGAAGTGGGATGATTTCCTCAAGGTCAGACTGCTGGAGGAGCTGGCCTGGCCCACAGCCCGGGCTGCCTCACCCAGTCCTAACCCTCTGGAGAGGAGCCCACGGGAAGGGACAGGCAGTGCAGCCTGGCCTGGTCTTGGCTCTGGCAGCATCTCCCTGTGTGTCCTTCCCCAAGGCACTGCACCTCTCTGGGCCTCGGTTGCTTCAGCTGTAACATGGGAATCCGGACAGCACATCCCTCCTGGAGCTACTGAACAGAGAATCTGCATGAAGCCCTTAGCAGCTGCCAGGCACCATGTGACATTTATATTTCCCAGCCAGTGTGGAGGGGACTGCCCACAGAATGGTGGCCCAGCAGGGCCCCATCGGGCCCGGCAGGAATCCTCTAGGTGCTAGATCATAGAGAAGTTCAAGGGGCTGAGCGCTGGGGCGGGGGAGAGGGACTATTTACCGTAGGTATGGAGGTTTTCTACTATTTTAACAACCGGTGTAACTACACCCATTTGTACTGGCTGAAAATCAGCCCTGCCTGAGACATAATAAGTGTCCAATAAATGATAGCTATCGTTATTATTATATTATTACTAAATGTTACCTATATATAACTGGGATTCAATTCAGGCACCATTAGGCTCTGGATCCCAGGCTGTTCTCACTGCTCTGAGATCTCTTGGGTGAAGAAGCAGCAAGAAGCCTGTTTTCTTGCAAACAGAAACACCTAAGTCCTTATCCTTCGATGCCCAAATCTCCGAGGCAGCCCTGAGCACAGAAACATCCTTCCCGATGAAGCCAGTGACTCTGAGTGTCTCTCTAAGCTTCCGTGGAGACGGGACGTGAACAAGAGAATCCCTGAAGTTCCTTTCCGGGCGGGGCGCAGTGGGCCCGGCCCCCCCAGCAGGAGAACAGGTGCCAATGAAGTTGTCACGAAGGGGGATGAAAGCCCATCCCCTGCCACGCAGGGGGAGCCTGGGTATAAATTCTGCTGGTGGAACTTTGTGTCTGAAAGGTGGATTATAGAAGTGCCATTTGGAAGATTGAATGGCCCATAAACATTTTCATATTTCATTAGCCGATTAATGGGCATCTCTCTCTTTTTGGCGAGTCTGCTGATTCTCAGCAGAAATTGCGGGGAGTAAATGGAGGCGTCTGGTGGAACCTTTCTGGGTCCCTGTCCTGTTATAGATTGCCCCAATTAATGCCCGTCCTGGGCTCCACTGAGAAGCCTTCTTCCTGTCCAGTTACTGTTAATAGATTTCTCATAAGTGGCTGGATTGTAAAAACCTCATAACTCAGTTTAATGCCCCCAATAAAATTATCTCGGGACGTCAGCCCTGAATCACTGGCAGTGCTGGGGATGAGGAAACCTGTCTCTCCTGTTTGCTGTTTATGCTTTTCTTCCACCTTTGATCAAGGGAGATGGGATGGGAGAGGGTGAATTTGTTCCCTCTTGGGTGTTTCTACCCACTTCCCAATCAGATCTGTTGTCTGCTTATTTAATGAGCAAACATTTCTGAGCAGTGTGGCAGGATAGTCACTATTTGGGGGGGATGCTTCACAGCTATAATCTTGTTAGCCTTTGTTGTTGCCCTGTGAAACATTATTATTCCCATTTGTCAGATGAGAAAACTGAGGCACGGAGCGGGGAAGTCATTTGCTGTGTCACTCAGCTAAGTGTGGGAAGCCAAGCTCCTGACTTTACCACTCACTAATGTTGTGACCACGGGCTTATTAATCTTACCTCTCTGAGCACTTGTTTTCCCACCTGAGAAATCAGAGCCAGCCTTGCCTGGCTCAGGTGTGGTGAGGATTAAATGAGAGCATGTTTGTAATGACCTGAACACTCTGTAAATGGCTGTTTCCTTCCCTGTCTCCCGGGTATTCATCCTGTCCCTGCAGCCCTTGACATTTTAATTCAGACCCCAGACAGGGATCACTGACGAGTGGGGAGTGGAGAGGAGAGCGTGGAACCCAGCGGTGATGTCATCGATGTTCTTCTGTGAAGTATGACACACAGCTCATGCTGGGGCCCGGTGGCTGATCTCCGGGGACTACAGAGTCAGACAGGGCCAATTGGCCTGGGCAGGCGCGAAGATCTGGGAGCTACAGATGCGGCTCCTGGGCTGGGGCTGTCTGCCCTTCCCTGCCCGCCTGGGTCCTGGCTCCGGAGTGGAGAGGGAGCATCTCTGGCTCTGCCCTAGGAAGAGATTTCTCAAGGCGCTCAGCTGTGAGTGGAGGCTGGAGGATGATGCTCTCACTTATTGAGACCTACTACGTGCCAGACACGTGTTGCAGGCTGTCTGCTGAAATCTAACTTGACTTTGTGGAGTGTGTTGATGTCTCCCCATTTTCTAGGTAAAGAGACTGAGACAGGCCCAAGTCTGTTTGACTCCAAAGTGCAGGCTGGTCCTCCTGCAGCCCCTGGAAATGTGGTTAGTCTGCTTACAATGGCTCTGGCAGAGAATGAGGAGACAAGGAGAAGGACTGGGTGGGTGCGGGGCCGTCGCTGGGTCGCACTGCTCGGGGAGCAGCCTTGACACCAGTCTTCACCCTGCACCCAGCAGGCCTCTCCTCTCTGAGCCTCCGTTTCAATCACTTGGAAAAGAACCTCAAATCACAAATCAGGACAGATGATGGGTTTGGGGTCAGGAGCAGCTGGGTGCCAGCTTCGCCTCTGCATGGCCCTGGGAAAATGGCTATCCTTCTCTGAGCCTCAGTTTTCTCATCTGTAAATGGGACTGCTTTCCCATAGATTCTGAAGATTCATGGATAATATATGGAAGCTCCTATCACATAGTAGGTGCTCAATGTAGATTCCTCCCCTTTTCCTACCCTGGTCTCAGGAGGGGTTAAGGGGTCACCTAGTTCACCCCCTCGCGTTCTGACATGAGAACCAAAGACTCTAATCCTGACCCATTGGAGGCGCAAGGGCCATCATCCGACACCTTCTCGTTCTCTTAGATTCATCTCGTTTCCTCCTCCAGGCAGCACTCTCAGATACCCTCCCATTTGGTCAAAGAGCCCTCATCCCTCTCTGTCCCTGCCCCCTGCACATGCCCCTCTACTCCACGCACCCCTGTAACACCTAGTGTTGCCCATCTATGTGTCCCCAGCTGTCATGGGCCTCAGGGCGTGGACTAAATTTGATTTGTCTCTGTTTGAAGTCCCCACACCTGGAACCCTGGCAACGCCTGCAGAGAAAAGACAGGGGGTGGGAGAGTTGAACGTGGGTGGGTGCGCGCACGTGCACGCACTTGAGAGGGTGAGACCACAAGCTCCCTGCGGGTGTAGCACGGGCTGTTTGTTCCCATATCCCCAGCCCCCAGCACAGGGCACAGCACCAAACATCCTGAATAAATGGATAATGAAATATACAACTGTCATTAGAATCTGCCACTGTCCTCTGGGATTCTGGAGGATCCAGCCACTCCGATAAATCCCGGGTACACGTGAGCTATCCTGGGGACGGCAGTCACCAGGAGCCTATAACGCACCAGGCACAGTTCCGGACCCCTTAGTGCCAGCTCAGTCATGCCTCGCAATGACCCCGTGCATCAGAGATTATTCAGACTGGTGAACTGCAGGTGCAGAGGGCCCAAACCCTACCTAAAGTCACGCAGCTAACAAGAGGCAGCCCCGAGGCCTGTCTGACACAACATCCGGGGTTCTTGCCGCTACATCAAGTGTGGCCGGCCCTGGAGGAGAAATGCTCCCCCCAAGCCCCATTCCTTGATCATAAACAACATGAAAAACACAAGAGTGATGGTTTCTCATCCCAGGGGGCTGAAAAATGGGATTTACGAGGCCATTAATTACTTCCTCCTAATTAAATCAAAATTAAATTCGAGCAGAGTTACGTTTCCCTTATTAAAGACAATTAAACGGACAGTGCGGCTACGCAAATAAAATGAGCCCAGGATTTAAACGGAAAGCAAATCAAATAAAAAGCCTCCCCCGGAATGAGGGGTCTGTTCACGCCTGTGCTACTCGTAAACCAGGAGTTCATCAATTTTCTTTAAATATTAGCAACTTAATTAAATGTGCTCTCCTCCCCACTTTAATCCTGCCGTATATCTAAAATAGATCTCACCGCCCACAGGAGTTGGTCAGAAGTGCTGACCCCATAATTCTATCTTTTTTTTTAAAAAAAAAATTAAAAATCCTACAAAATCCACATCCAGCTGACAGAAGCCTCGGGGGAAATTATAGTTCGGAAAAGGGATTAGTCAAAGTACCCAGATTTTATGGAAATGCTGGGAGGTTGCTTTGAGGGTGGGTGTTGTGAGAAGGTGCAGGGGAGAGGTGGGCTGGGGCTACTGATGGGGGCAGGACTGAGGCGGGAGCTGTTTGTCTGGGGTCTCGGGGACAACCTCAGGGCCCCGTGGTTCCTGTGGGTGCCGACAGGAGCCTGGCGGGGAGTGATGGAGGAGGTCACTGTTGGGCGCCCGGGGTTCACTCTGTGGATGATGCTGTTGCTAGGCTACCTTTGGAATTTGACAAGGACGGATGCTCCGAGTGGCTCCCTGGGGTGGGTGGGACCAGGAAGAAGTGAATTAACTGAAACCAGGGTGAAGTCCTTTCTCCCGGAAGAGCGAGAGAGCGTGGTAGGAGTGTGTGTGTATGCACGCGCACACAAGCACGTGTACCTAGGCGGGACTTGGCAGGAAAGGGGACAGGTGGTTTTTAAAAGCCCAAGCTCATCTTCCTAGGGTAGGGGGTGGGCTAATGACAACCCCTCCTGCCCCCGACTACGGGGTGAAAAACTAGGATGTCAGGTTACCGAGAAGTCTTCTGGGATTTGGGGCAGGGGCTCGTAGTATCTGTGTAGAAGGTATACTCGAGGTGGTGGAACTACCAGGAGAGACTTATAATAATACAAGCTAATACTTTCCAAGCACATGCCGGGAGTGGGCTGCTATTCTAGGTGCTTGACATATGCTAACTCCTCGAATCCTCACCACAGCCCTTTGAGTCAGGTCCTGGTAATAACCTCACTCAACAGATAAGGAAACTGAGGCACAGAGAGGGTAAATACCATCAGCCTTCCATATCCACAGGTTCCGTCTCCATGGATTCAACCAACCAAGGATTAAAAATATTTGAATAAAACTGTGTCTGTACCGAACACGTACGGATTTTTTTCTTGTCACTATTCCCTAAACAATACAGTATGACAACTATTTATACAGCATTTACACTGTATTAGGTTGGATAGGTCATCTACAGATGATGTAAAGTAGTCGGGGGGATGCGAGTAGGTTATATGCTAACGCTATGTCATTGTATATCAGGGATGCCAGCAGCCTTGGATTTTGGTATCCTGGGGAGGTCCTGGAATCAACCCCCCACCGAGGGGCACCAAGGACGACTGTGATGTGCCAAGGTCAGAGAGCTCATAGCAGCGGGGCTGGGGCTGGGGCCCAGGCAGTCCGGCTCCGGTTACCTCCGTAAGCACACACGCCACCACCTCTCAAAGGAACGTAAGCATTGGGCAAACGTTTGCAAAGAGGCGGATACTTATTCCTCGTGCTTTTCTGGAGGTGGCCTTGAAAGTAAGAGAGTAGGAGGTCTGGGTGCAGGTGATGGAGGAGGAATACAGGAAGTCAGGACAGCAGTGGAATGCTGAGAGGTTGCTACGAGGGGAGGGAAAGTCCCCAGGCCCGGCACAGTGCTGGGCTCCACTGCATACAGGACTCTGGAAGTGAGCGTGGAGCTGGTGTCAGGAGACCTGGTTTTGTGGGTTGGTTCTGTCACTGTGTTGCTGTGTGGCCTTGGCATGATCTTCTCTGCCTCTGGGCCTCAGTTTCCCCTTCTTATCATAAAGGAGATGGGGGTGGGGTTTGGCTCATGCTGTTGGGAGGATAAAGGCTCGGTGGATGCAGCTGGAAGCGGTGAAGCAGCAGTTGGCTCTGCTCATCTTTTCAGGACGTAGGGGGTGGGGAGGCCTGTGCAGAGCCCCCCCTGCCGGGTGGACGACAGGGCCGAGGGGGCCTTAGACAACTATCTCATCTGACATTTGGGCAGATGTGTCACAGTTCTTCCCTGTCTCTCCAGGGTTCTCCGGGACCAAAGGCCTTTTCCCAGGCCTGCAGGTCTCAGGTTCAAATCCTGGCTAAGCCACTTGCCCGCTCTCCAGCTTTGCCCCTTCTGGCTTCGGTTTCCTCACCTACAAAAGGGAACGATGATTTCTACCTTGCAGCTTAAGGGTTAAGTACTTTATGTGGGAACAATAAAACGAACAAGCCACAAGCTGAATATTTTATGTTCCCAGTTCCTTCTTTAATCTTCAACCACCTTAGGAAGTGGGTGCTCGGAGCCCCGTGTTTACAGATCAAGAGACCGAGTCTGGGGGAGGGGGAGTGACGTGTTCAAGGTCAAGTGGTGAATGAGGGGACAGACCTTGGGTGTGTCTTTCTCCAAAGGCTGCGTTCTTGTCTACTCCATTAGCTACAGCCGGCACGTAACCGGCGTAGTCCCTCCTTCCCCACCCTCGCCCTGGTCCCCAGCCCGGCCATCTCATAGCCCCGGCTGGGAGTCAGCCGTCCTAGGCTCTGCCACTGGGTTCCTGAATTATTGTGACCGAGGCCCTGAACCTACCTGAGCTCTGTCTTGTCAAATCCCTGCTGTGCTCAGCCACAGGTGCAGAGGGGAAAGTAGCTAAGGACTAGGGATTACTCTGTCTAGACCAGAGAAAATCTGGGTTTCCTGCAAGTAAACGCAGAGGTTTGCATCTAGACTTTCCTCCTTTCCCTGTTGAGCATCCTGATCCCTGAGCCTCAGCACTGCTCAGCCTCCCAAATCTTTTTTTTTTTTTTTTTTTTTAGACAGAGTCTCACTGTGTTGCCCGGGCTAGAGTGCCGTGGCGTCAGCCTAGCTCACAGCAACCTCAAACTCCTGGGCTCAAGTGATCCTCCTGCCTCAGCCTCCCGAGTAGCTGGGATTACAGGCATGCGCCACCATGCCCGGCTAAATTTTTTGTATATATTTTTAGTAGTCCGATTAATTTCTTTCTATTTTTAGTAGAGACGGGGTCTCGCTCTTGCTCAGGCTGGTCTCGAACTCCTGAGCTCAAACAATCCGCCCGCCTCGGCCTCCCAGAGTGCTAGGATTACAAGCGTGAGCCACCGCGCCCGGCCAGCCTCCCAAATCTTAACTCGTGTAAGCACACAGGAAGCTCTCGAGTGGGTCTCCCCCTACCCCCGCTGCCAACCGAAACTTCCTGGAAAGTTGATTGGCCTTAACAAAAGCCAGAGGACCGTCCCTGAGCACCGCTCCACTTTCATGCCCTACGATCATCCTCTACTTGAACCCCTCAACTGCCAACGAGGCTCTGAATAAACCAGGCACCTGAAGGTGCCTGATGAACTCCTACTCATATGTCAAAGGCCAGTCCAGATGTTTTTTCTTCCATGAAGCCAGCCAATAGGTCCCATTTGATCAGTGCCAGGTGATGATTTGTGAAGCCTTTCATGTACCAGGGTGTCTCTGCCAATCTGGGGAGCCCCAGATGGCAGAGGCTGGATCTTGCCTTGGTTTCCCCAGCCTCACACCTGGGCCCCACAGGGCTCAGGGACTGAATGGATGAATAAAAGTCCTTCTCTGCTCCTTACACTCCTAGGGCACAGACCTTCAGCCAGACTTACCAGCATTTACTCAGAGAGTTTGAGAAAGTAGCTTTCACTCATTCATTCATTTAATGAGCAGTTTGCGAGCAATGTCTGTGCTAGGCACTGGGGATTTAATGGCGAGCAAAACAAACACGGTCTAATAGGAAAGACACATATTAATTACATAATCAAACAAACACATGCATAATTAAAGTGTTATGAAGGACAGATGCCGGGGCCTCAGGGGGCACGGAACTGGGGGATCTGTCCTGGCCTGGTGTGGTCCGGAAGGGCTTCTCTAAGCAAGTGGCATTTAGGCTGAGACCTGCAGTGCGGAGGGGCAGGAAAGAGCAGTCCAGGGGGAGGAAACAGCCTAGGCAAAGGGGCAGTGGCAGCAGATTGCATGGGCATTGGAGGGACCTCAGAAAGGCCACCCTCAGAAGGCTGGTGTGGCTGGAACTCAGGGAGAGGGGCACGAGAAGGGGCTGGAGGAGGAGCCAGACTTTTGTAGTCAATGGGATGGAATTCAGGCTGGACCCCACGTGCAGGGGAAGCTATTGAAGAATTTTAAGCAGAGAATGTGTGGGAGACGATCAGATTTGCAGACTTGTTCTAAATTCCACGTGCGTCCCTCTACAAGAGGGGCTGGCTTTGCCTACTCGCCTCTCCTCTCCAAGAGGCAAAAGGGAGGGAGACGGGAGAAGGGCGTGGGGTGGAGGAGGGGGCTGGGGTCAGGGCGCAGGTGTCTGCCCCTGGCCAGGGAGGCGCTGGAGGGAGGCACGGGGGAGAGGGAGCAGGGATTTAGAGGGCTGGGGAACTAGGGTCTCTTGCATCTAACAGTGGGCGTCCCCGGGGTCCCGGGGGCTGCAGCGGGCGTGGGGCCCCACTTTACCTTGCCCACGTACAGGGGCTCGGTGCCCGTGTACTCCTCCACCACGAAGAACTGGTTCCACACCCAGCCGCGCTTCACGCGGCCCGCGCCGAGCGCGCCGTCCTGCCGAGCCCCGGGCGCCGACGGCGCGGGCGTGCCCGCTGCCCACAGGCGCCCCAGCAGCGGCGGCGACGGCGGCAGCAGCAGCAGCAGGAGCAGCGCGGGCGACAGCGCGGCTCCCGCTAGGAGCCCCCTACCGTCGGGCCGCGGCCTCATGCTTGGCCTGCGCGGGGCCGGGGCCCAGGAGCATGGACGGGAGGCACCAGGGCGCCGCCGCTCGGTCGCACAACGAAGCGGCGCGGTGTCACATGGTGGCCTCAGCGCGGCCTCCGGGACGCCGCCCCCAACGGGGCACCCGGACAGGCCGGCTGGAGGGGGAGGGGGCGCGGCCGCACCCGGGGCATGGACAGCCCCCGGGGTCCCCGCCCGCGCCCCCCTCGCCGCGTCGCGTGCAGATCACCAGGCGGCGTCCCCGCAGCTCCGGAGTGGGCTGTGCGCCATGGTCCCCGCGCAGAGAGGGTGCAGGTTGGGGCCTGCCGATCCTTGAGGACTAGGGGCCTTCCTCATCCATCAGGAGCCTGCAAGAGAAACAAGAGAACTTCAGAGGGGGCTTTGTGTGTGGGGAGGCAAGTTGAGTCCTGTAGGTACTAATTAAACACCTACTGTGTGCCCTGCACTGTAGTGACCCACAGTGGTCCCTGTATTCTTGGAGCCCATGGTCTAGTAGGCGCCCCTCTCCCCCACCCCCTGCCAGGGATCCTTACTTTCTTCTCCCATCACACCCGCTCCCACCCTCTGCCAGCCCCTCCTGCCCCTTGTCATAGCCCCTCACCCAGCTTCTGCTTGGTGGTCCTTCACTAGCCCCCAGGCCCACAGAAGCAGGCACCTTAGGAGCTGTCAACCTGCCCCTGGCCGACAATCTATCCAGCCCAGCCCCCAGAAATCCCCCACCCCAGGTGGTTCTAGAAGGGGTCTTTAAGAGCTGCTGAGACCCGGGCCTCCTGGTGCACCGACTCCAGCACCCAGGCTGCCACCCAGCCCTCCTGCCCTCCCCTAGCCGCACAGAGAGGCTGTTCCATCCTAACAGGAGCCCAGGGAAGGCCCTGTGACATGCCACGACCTCTACATCCCCTTCCGGGGATGGAGCACCTGAGTCCCAGAGGGCCTTGCTTGGAGTCACACCCTGTGTGACTTTGGGCAGGGTCACAGCCCCTCTGAACTTACCTTTGGTGTCTCCGTATCTCACCCCCCCCCCAAAAAAAACCTCTCCTTCCCAGAGACTGAGCGACGCCCCTCCTCTCCTCCTGGCCCAGCGCTAGTCCCCAGATCAATCCGTCTCTCTCCCCGCCTCCATCAGATCCTGCTCTCAGCAAGAAAGGGTCTGAGGGACTAACGCCTACTCAAGCCATAATGATGAATAATGGCTTAATGTGAGTGTTTACAGGGGACAGCCAGGCTGCTTTAATGGAGGAGTTTTAGGCACGGAGAAGAGTGAGTGGAGGTGAGGGGCTCGGTCCCCACTCCGCCTCCCCCCAGGCCCAATTCCGCTCAGTTCAACAACTCGATTCCACCAAACTTCAACTCTGCGCCAGGTTCTGCCTGGGCCTGGGGAACAAAGATATAAAAGTGTATCGTTTAGGTGACTGGGAGATGAGACTCCTCCCCGTAACATCCTAGACACCAGTTGCATGTGATCAGGGTGTTTATGTGTGTGTGGGGACAACCTGAGACACGTGGAGCTCAGGGGAGAGAGTGGACACTCTCTTCGAAGGGGGAGGGAAGTGGGAGACAATCAGGGCTGCTTCTTGGAGGAGGAGGCATCTGAGCAGGCAGGAAGGAAGGGGTGTGGTTCCAGGCAGAGGAGTGTGCTGCCGCAGGGAGTGGACTGGCTGGTTTAAGGAAGTAGTTTGGGAGCATGAGGTATGTGGCTCGGTAGAGGGTATGGGGGCACCGCCCTGGCCTTCGCCAGATCTTTCTGAGGACAAAGGAAGCGGCCTGGATCTCTAGGGCAGAAGGAATGCAGACCACCGCCTTTGACTCAGCAGCCCAGCGGGCAACTCCCATGCCTTGAACTCATGTGAGTCGCAACTGTGAAAGTGGGTGTTTTATGCCCATTTTGCAGATGCCTGACTGCCCCGTGCTCTTTTCCGGAATTGGCTCCAGAAACGCTTTATGGAAGGGGTTTCAGGGCAGGGAGTCACCTGTCGGAAGGCGAGGCTGGTGGGGAGGGGTTTCCACTGCATTTCTGGGCAATGAGAATGGGGCAAACGTCAACAGTCCACAGGGAGGGATGGAGAGGAGGGTCCGGAACGTGCTGTTCCCTCTTTCCCTCGAGGCCCTACTCTGAACTAACGGGCCATGAGGAGGCATCCCCGGCACCCCCCTTTGTCCCCCACCCCAGCTCCATTGTGTGGGCCTGGGTGTGATGCTCCCCAACCCTGGTGGCCCCACTGTGCCATCCCTGATCTGTGCTGCCGCCTCTGGGGATCCGGCTTTGCTTCCCCACGTTATGACCTGCGCTGGTCATAATGAGGCTGAAGTTACGGGCGAGGAGGAGGTGCCGCTCCAAAGCCTTCATTTCCTGGAGCTTATGACTTCCCTGCATGCACAGCGGGGACTGTCCCCCTGACTCCGCCAGGCAGCTCCAGGGCCCATCACAGCCCTGCAGGGCTGCAGAGGGGAGGGCTGGAGGGAGGGAGGTTTGGAGGGCGGCTGGGGCCACCTCTGGAGAGGGGTGTGTGGGCGAGGGAGGGGTGGCCCTGGGGAGATCCCCAATGTTTGCAGGCACCCAGCTGTTGCTCTCCCTCCTCCTCTCCCTCCCTCCTGTCCTTTATTTCTTTGTTTATAACGCCTTTTACAAGGGGGGGGCACACTGAGATTCGATCATTCATTCATTCTTCAAACACTAGTGTCTACTACAGGGAGGAGAGATAGAAATGCATTTCATCTATCCATTCACTCATGTATTCATTCAACACACTTTACAAATCATTTCTCTGTGTGAGACAGTCAGCAAGACGCAATCAGTTATTCAGCTGCGTATCAGGAGAGATGCATTTCTTCTGGTTATTCATTTGTCCTTTCCACGAACATTCCCAGCACCTCCCTGATGCCAGTCCCTGTACTGGGCACTGGGGACACAGCAATAAACAAAATAAAGTCCCAGCCTTCATGAAACTGACCGTCTGGTGGGAGCGACACATAATGAAGGAAGAATCCATGGTATAATTTACGAAGAACAATAGAGCAGGAAGGATGGGGGAGAGAATGGTGGAAGGGATGGCGTGCGTTGTTCTAGATAGGGTATCAGGGAGGGCTTCTCAGAGGAGGGACGTTTCTCTGAGTCTAGAAGGGTGAGAAGGAGCTGGACACAAAATGGTTCCACACAGAGGGAAGAGCATGTGCAAAGGTCCAGAGGCTGGAACGAGCTGAGGCGGCACTTGAAGTTGTAGTACGGGAAGGATTTGGACACGTGGAATGGGGGCGTTGGGAGGAGAAGGCGCTCTTGGTGGCAGGGCTGCCTGAGACAAAGGCCTGGGATCAAATCCTCACGTTAGAGAGGGGGATAGTAGATTCCAAGAGGATTCCACCAAGCGTACTTGGTGACGGAGCAATGCCTTGAACCCAGACCTGGAATCCCTTCGGCATAGGGCACCTTTGGGGAATGGGACAAGGTGCCCTCCTGGATGGATGCAGCCAGTGCTGGGGGCACAGTTGGCAGGACAAAGCTGCCCCCCTTGTGCAGGGCACGGCCTGCGTGCTGTTGGAGGGGTGGGGCCACGGCCCTCCCCTCCTCCCCTCTCCCTCCCACACCTGGACCTTCGTACCTCAGCCCCAGGTCTTCCTGCCGCTGTTGGCCAGGTTCCCTGGCTGCCTGCCAGCTCCTCGCGGCTCTGCACTGCCCTGCCAGGGCTGCCGCAGACACTTGGGCCTCCTCTCTCTCTCCCTTCCTCCCTTTCCTGCTCCAGCTGCTCTTCCTGAGTGGGCGTCAACTACGGGACCCTGCCCTGGCATTCGAAGTCTGGGGAGGCAGCTGTGGAGTCCTGGGGCTGCATTCAGCTTTCCTGGGACTCCCTGTGGGACCTCGGGCATGTCGCTGGCCTTCCCTGGGCTGCAGGTCTCAACCCACTGCACAGAGCTCTTGAATCCAAAATGCGGTTAAAAACCGAGCCCTGGCCTGGCTCGGTGAATGTCAGCTTCGCCCTGTCTACCCTTCAGTCTCACCTCCTACAATCCGTCTGTCTGCCCAGGGGTCTACATACATGCATGTGGTTTCTATAAGTATGCAGACACGTGTCTGCAGTCACATATGACTGAGCGTGCGTGAGTATCGGTGCACACTCATTCATTTCACAAACATTTGTGAGTTTCCGCTCTGTTGTTCTAGGCACATAAAAAAAATCCCAAGCAGAGTCCTTGCCCTCTCAAGGTGGGGGACACAGACCATAAACACATAACATGCCAGGTGAGGGTAAACGCTATGAGAAAAACAAAGCAGGGTAAGGGGCACAAGAAGTTCTGGGGAGGGGTGTGATTAGCTGTTTATCTATCTATCATCATCATCACCACCATCATCATTATTATTATAAATGATAATTTATACAGAGTGGTCAGGGAAGGCCTTGTCATCAAGATGACATTGATATGGAGATCTGAAGTGAGGGAGGGAGGGGGCTGTGCACACAGCTGGGAGGAGAGCGTTCCAGGCTGAGGCAACAGCAAGTGCAAAGGCCCTGAGGTCAGTGCATGTTGAGTGTCAAGGAGGAACACCAAGGAGCCCAGAGCTGCTGGAGCAGAGCAAGTGCAGGGGGGCAGCAGGAGATGAGGTCAGAGGGGCTTGGAGGGGGGAGCAGTCAGAACCTGAAGGGTCTATTTTGGGGTTTTACTGTGAGATGGGACCCCTAGGAGGATTTTCAGCAGAGGAGTGACGTGATCTGATTTATGTTTGAAAAGATCACTCTGGCTATTGTGTTAAAATAGAGGGAAGCCGGGGCTGGGAGGGACATGGGGGAGTATCTCAACAATGCGGTTGGTAGAGCAGCCACGGCGGCTTGGAGCGGGCAGTGGAGGTGCTGGGAGGTGAGGCTGATGGTCAGGTGTGTTGAGGGGCCAGAAATGGCAGGAAGAGAGGAAGAGGGGAGCTGGGCGCCAGCGTGCCTTCAGCCTAAGCCACCACGGAGTTTCACTGAGCTGAAGATGACGGTGGGACGAGCAGC